GTCAATATACCCACTTCCTTGTTAAAAAAAATAGTCGCCTCATTTTTTGGTATACGAACGGGAAAGACAAAAGGGAAAGTGTTTTATTTGTCTGATATGTGACTTAATCTCTAAAGTACATTACTAACTTTTAGCACGGATGTGTTGTGAAGTGCGCTGGCCAAGTTTGGGTGAAATGAAGAAATAAAGAAAAAGAGAGCAGAGACTTACAGCACGTCATAAAACTTACAAGTTTAATCAAATCCGACCGCGACTGTAGATAAGTGCATTCCAACTTAGGTACTTTATTTTCTGACACCACCATTCTAAGGTGACTAGAAATTCTCATATAGCATTGTACAGTGCAGCTTATTGAAACAAAATAAAATGACTTCTGTTATGTTGTTGAACCTACAAATATGCGACAGTCGAATCAGTAAATGATCGCGATTAAACCTCGTTGCCTATGTCTAATAAAGATTGCAAAAAAAGGTTTTGAATTTTATTTGCCATAAAATGATCTACGAGTGAAAGCTTAAAGCAGCGTCCGCAGTGCACCAACAAGCAAAGCTGTTGTCAAAGTGATATTTGTTATTGCAGATGATTTTGAATAGTTGTTAATGTATTATTGCTGGATGTAAATCACAAAATTATCGAACAGATTAAGTAAAGTTGCAAATTTGCCAAGTTATAGATACACCTATATATCTATAACTGCCAAACAAATTAGTTTAGCAGACGAGAAGTTCGTCCTTCTTCCGCAGCGTATCCTTCGTCAAACTGGCAGGCAAATTCTGCTTCAAAGAATGTCTTTGAACAGATGTTACGTAATTACTGTAAAATAGGATGTTATAAGGCAGTCGCCTACTAAAAAATCATTCATGATGTCTTTCAAGTACAATTTTTTGACAGTCTCGAGTTTTCCCAAAACTGTAATTATTTCCACAAAGTACAGTTTTAGCCAGTATATGCAACAGTACAGCAGAAATAGTTTATTTAACCTTAATATCATCCTGTGGTTCAATAACACTCTAGTGAGTTGCTACTGAGTTTGACAAACGTAATCTTTACGTGGAAATTAGTAAATGATGTCACTGCAACTATGACATGCAACGGAAACAAAGCGTGCAGTTACGTCACGCTGAAGTTTGCTGGCAACTTATTTTCCAGTAACACTTCTGAATGTAACAAAACTGAGATGTGCTTTGCACGTAAAAACTGCAATGGTTTTTATGGTGTCGTCTTAAGTAATTCTAGGAAAGTGCAGAATCTGTGAGAGATGACAGTAATTATTGAGCCTCAGAGATT